ATTAGATTTTCTTTTATTAATTCAATCACATTTTAAAATATCTGTAAGTTTTTTGTCATTCAATTTTAAATAACAATTACAATTTATATATACACTACACATTCAAACCTCGCTTTTAATCATAATTGACTATACTTATGTGTAACGACTCGTTACTAACGACCATCTAAAGCAATATAAAAGAATGAGATAAACCATAATATAATTCCATACCATAAAAAGCTACAACATAGACAAATGTAAAAAGATGCACACGCTTTAATTATATGATAATTGTATACCAAGAAGCATTAAGTTGCATATAAAAATGCGTGTTTTAATACTACATATAAGAAGAATATACAACTCAACGTACGATTCGTCTTAGAATCGTCTCTGTACAATAACTGACCCACATCGATTTGCGAGCTTAACACGTACATTTCATATTCGTACCACGTATTTTTTTTCGAAGACAGCACGATTCGATTTGAAAGTGTATAACGGCAATCAGATTTTTTTACCACAACGATTTCGCCTGTTCCTTCCTCATAGATGGATATAAAAAAATAATCTGTTCCTGTAAAATTTGTCTGCATAGAATTCAAATATCTTAAATCTATTAAGAGTTTAACATAATTTTAACATTTAACTCGAAACGTTGAACACAAAATTGCTCCATATTTTAAGGATTCTCTAAACTACTTTCACTTGGGCCAAAAGTATGTTAGATTAAATCTAAAACGCGTTCGACAACCTCATCATAGAATTCTCTATACGTACAATGGTTGCATAAAAATAATTAATTTCAGGAAAAACTCGTAAGAATAATGGGCAACGGGACAATTGGGAAAATCGGTGAAAGTTCTTGCGTAGACTCGTTTATCAGTGCCAGAAATAGGTGGAATGTGTCACGTCACGAGTTCGTGGATCGGTTCACTTTCCTACGAGCGTATGCACGCTTCGTGACGGATCTTTATTCAATTGCTCGTTGATGTAACAGGGGCATTATCGACACGAGAAACCGGCCGGACAGGAAAAAGAGTGGAAATGTGATCGCATTGTTTTCATTTCCTAGAAATGACGCGATAATTAACAAATTAAGGAGCGCAGAAATCGTATCTTTCTTCGCGTGCACGCTATGTGTCAAAGTAAACGACGATGATTTCCAAAGAAAATCCTGGTAAAAGTCTGGCTTCTCGCTCGTTTTCTATATCAAAAATCTATGTCAATCTATGTCCATCCGTCTCTATCTTAAACTTTCTTGGTCAAGGACATTTTTAATTACTTGTAGATAACATCATTAATCGTTATGTAAGTCGAACAGAAATCGCTTTAGTTCATTGACCATTTTAATCATCCGTTTATACAACGTGTCTCGTTATACGATGATACGATGACCAGATGAAAGATTCTTCGCGAAGAAAGAAAGGATTTTTTTTCATTTCGAAGCTTCGTTTTCGAGCTAATAAATAAAATTTGAAAAATTTTTAAATACAAGTAAAATCTCTGGATTCATTTCTTTTTCTTCTCCTCTTTTACTTCTAACTTTCTTTCGTATCATTCCAGGCTAGTGAATCTACCGTTCCAAATATTCGAAGCTACCAGGAAGCGCGAATAATATCACGTAGCAAATCGTCGATCTTGATCGCGTACGTGATATCGAACAAGGGAGTAGGCTTAAAATTTTTACGCACACCCAATATATGCAATGTGTCCCAGTTCCTTGGTTCACTTAGAGCACGTGCAAACCAGTTTCGATGCAGTATGTCTTGTACAAATACTTTCTGCCGGCGTTTCTCAGTTAATGACACGCATAGACTTCCGATTTAATGTTGTCGTCCGTTCAACAACACAATGCTCGATCAGTATCGATAAACGTGATTACATATTAAAAAATATATATAAGATTATATTTATGATATATAATTTTTAATTTTATTTAAATTTGCAACAATTTTGTATTTCGTATCGGCTTATCATCAAAATTTCAGAAGTGAATATTCCCGAATTATTAATTTTTCACGATCTATTCACGTTTGTCATAAAAACAGCTTTAATCATCGTCTACAAGAAGACAAATAAAAATGGATCTGGTGGACGATTAGAAACGAATACGAATATATTACGAAAAAAGGAAGAATTTTTTTTGGAAATATTCTTCCACGACACGGTTCATTCAGCCTACTTCGGCATTCGAGTTTCTCCTTTTTGTTTCCTCGCCACGACATTCGTCTAATCTCTTCTTACACGCTATCGCTCTTCGAAATCTCTCGGAAATTAATAAAATTTCCATAAAACCAGCCAGCCAACACACACACATATATATATATATGTTTCAAGTATTAATCGAAAGGATTTCGAAGAGTGTTATTATTATGGAAATTCTTCTAGGTCGACGAGTGGTATCGTGTGTACATAGCGGCTAGGAATTCTACGTACTGGTACTAATATCTAGGCTGTCTGGAGCGTGGCCGTTCTTCCTCCATGGGTATCGAGGGCCATGACGAAAAAGAAGGAGGAAAAAGACGAGGCCGTTTCTATGAACGAGCACGATCGTTTTCGGTGGTCGTCGAGCGACTAAGCCGGTCGTCGCTCTACCTGCCCAGTGGTCAGATCGATAGTAGGTCAATGGAATTCGTTCGATCATCGTGTTCATCTCCATTGACCCGTCCGATGTGATCATCAAATTTAGAGGATGATCACGCGTTTCCTATTGTATTTCCTATATCTTGACCATTTAATCTCGAGATCACGTTTTCCCATTCAGGAAGAAGTGACATCGAAACCGTTTCTCCCATTGAGGAAACGCCGATTGTTGAAAACAGTGGCTGAGATCATACGACGACGTTGCTTATCGTACGTTCCTCATGAATGTAGGTTATTGGCATGGAACCGGCTGTTTCCAATAATGGGAACACCTTCACCAACGATCCATTAGTGAAAACTCCAAGGTGGAGCTGGTTAAGAATTCGTAACAATGTTTATGAGATGGCTACTTGATCCATGACTGTAAATAACTGTCTGTAAATAACTTCGAAAAAAAAAAAAAGGAGTGGAATAATTAATTGGGAATTGGAGTAGAAATAACTTTTGTCCAAGAGGAGGTATAATTTATATCTACTCCTTGGAAATAGAAGAATAGAAGGGAGCGGAGTAATCGTTTAGAATAATTAACAGAAGAATCAAGATGATAAAAATTCAGAATAGAAATTACATGTGCGAAAGGATGTAAATGAAATTTCAGGCACTCATTGGAAATCGTTGACTTACACTTCGTTCCAGATCACTGTGCCATCGCTTCCTAGTCGAATCTAAAACTTTGCTACGTCTTTCACAACAGTTAACCTCGATACGAAAAATAAGGAGAGGACAGAGTTACTTAATATTCCGCTCCATGATATTCTTCATTTCTCGTTTTGTTTTTCACGGTACACGATCCGAATTTCACTCTCGCGTTCCACTTATTTGCATTTGTTCCATGGATACATTCGGATACATGGGCCGATCGCTCAAACAGCGGTGCAAAAAGCGATCCTGGATCTCGTGGCTGCAATCAAGCGATAATCGAAATGAGATCACTCGCGTCATCTCGCGTCAGACCGGTCTGATGGCACATAAACAGGGAGCCGCAACGGTTCACTGATTTGCAGTTTCCATTGAATCCGATGGAAGAAAAGTTTTTCACGAGAAATTACTTGGTTCTTTTTTCAACCTCGTCGAACGTTGTTACGATTAAAATCTTGTTAAATCTTTATTTATTTGATGAATCTATTTCCTGTTTCACAATGTGGAAGAGGAAATGAAACGAAGATGGAACGATAAATGGAAAAGAAAAATATAATATTGAGTCCAAAATATAAGATACGATACAGCGATCTGAGAATATTCGTCTGATCTTTGAACAATTTTCGACAACTCGTAGTATTATACGTTATGTCATACGTTAATTAAAAGATCAGCTTTAATTCCTAGTTTCTACACTTTCTAAACATCTTAACTATTTTTCATCCGCAACAAGATAAACCAAAGGATTCACAATAAATTCATGTACAGTTATATCATGAATAACCGTGTTATGGAATGTATAATTAAACGAGTATTCGATACTTAAAGAGCTATGAAATTTCACCTAACTAAACCTAACCAAAAATAAAGAAAGATCCTCCATAATAACCGGCACACAATCCATATATATATATATATATATATATAAATAACTCGTGTCTCGTGTTTAAAAAACGAAAAACTGGTAACATAAAAAAGAAAAAAAGAAAAAATTTTCTCGACAGAGAATTTTCCATCCGCTTTCACCGGCGGCCGGTGCCAAGAGGTCCAAGCTCGTGGCGCATACGAAATCCGAAATCCTCCTCGACGCCTCTCGACACGAGCGTGCGTGTACCGTGGCGCGTGGCCGGTTGCAGCCGGAGAGGAGACGATAATGACCTTCCACGGAGCGGGCATGGACGGAGTAGGAGGGCCTTTGACACACTTGACGCTCAAGTGAATTGTAGCCGGGAACCGAGGAGGTTGCGGTTAGTTTTGAGCGGGAGATCGTGGTGAACGCGTCTCGCGAGAGAGGACGGAGAGGAACGAGAAACGAGAGGACGGAGCGTGACATGCCGGGTGCCAGGTGACACGGGCATGTCGACGGAATCGATGTGTTCGCGACATGAATTGCGTGGAACCCAACAACAACCTGTGAAAGGGTAGTCGAGCATCGTTGAAGAAAAAAGAAAAGGGGAGCAACGCCGTTCGGATCGATATCGAGGTCGAGGCTGCTGGTGGGGGCGGCGGAAGTGATAAAAGGTGCACGTGGATATCTGTTGGAAGAAATCAAAAGTGTATCGATCAACACCTCGATCGAACTGTTATGGCAAATGTCGGATGAATTACAGCAGACTGGTTGGAGATAGGACGGAGTAATAAGACGGTCTATTTCGTAGCTGTGATTCATAGTTTGAACATGTAAAAAAGTATTATTATTGGAAATATATATCAGAGACGAGTTATTTGAGTTTATTTGAAACTCGTACGAGTTTTTAAATTTTTGTTTCGGTTGAAGTAGTTGGATCTAGTCCAAAGACGAGGATGCATCTGAGGTACGTGGTCGTGATCGTGTGTTGTTTCTTCGTGGCGCGTGCAAATTCTCGGCTCTTCGTCTTGAAGAACTTGGAGAAGTATTCGAGGATCTTTAATTTTGGTGGTTTATGGGTGAACGAGACCGGGAACGAATTGTGGAACGGGTTAATCAGGGACTGCGATCGGTCGGTTACGTTCTCCTGCATACAGAAGAACGCATACGCTTATCTGGACAATGTTTTCGAGGAACGGGACAACATCACGGTGTTCGATGGTTTAACCATGACCAAGAACAAACTGGATTATGGTACTTGCAGGGGGAATTTGAAGGAGAATTATCAGGATTCCATGGACGAGAATCTCGTGGACGGGTCTATCAAGGATGACTGCAACGAAGAGGAAAACGAGGACGAAAGAGATCGACAGTTTGACGAAAAGCAATCACCTTTGGAGGAAGTGACTGACGCGTTGAGGAAGAAGACGGTGAAATTTCTCGCTACTAGAGATTACGAGATCCAATTGCCCGATTTTTTCTTCGAGGGTGCCACGATTAAACTCAGCCCTCGCGAGGTTGACGAAAATGGGGCCCTGGTCAGAGTGGACTTTGGTCAGAGTGGAGAAGTGGAGAATCAACAACAAGGGCGACTCTTTTTCAAAAAAATTAGTACGATCCTTTGTAAATATCCTTTTGCAATACTAGATTACGAATGTTTATGCAAATTTTTTATGTATAATTATAGAAACGAAATTGATACATATACGTATATAAATTCAACGGTACGAAACGTGCATAAACACTTTTTGAACGAAAGAAAAATTTGCTTAAAATTTTCCACAATTTGATCGATGTTCGTTGATTGATTTTTAGAGAAGTTCATACAGAACAAACTGTTGACGAGCTTCCTGGCCCTGCTGCTGCTCATCAAATTGATCAAATTGAAGTTCATGTTCGTGATACCATTTTTATTCGGCGTTGGTACCGCGAAGAAATTGTTCCTCAAGCTGCTGCTCTTCTTCATACCGGCATTCGCGCATGTGTTCAAATTGTGCTCGAGCTATTACTCGACCCATGGCACCAAGTATCACCATCATCATCACCAGGTTAATCGTTAAATCCATTTCGATGTCATCTGGCGAACGCCAGCTTCTCCAGCCACGTTAAATTATTATTATTATTATTATTATTATTATTTTAGATATCGCATCATCATCACCATGTCCCGGTTCCGGTACCGGTTCCAACCTACTACAACCACCACCATCACAACGAATTCGACGGTTACGATTACGCCCATCCTCACATCCAATATCGAAAAGATATCGAGGAGCTGAAGGAATGGGGCATAGAGCCTTACGAGGAGCCGTACGAGGTTCAAACCGAGTCAATAGGAGGTGGCACGGGTCCAGTCCATCCTCCCGGTGTGGTTCCAGCGCCGTTTCCAGCGCCCACCTATTCTGGAACGTACAGCGTCTCTCAATACGCGTCCAACGTTCAACCGATCCAAGCGTCTCCGTACCTGGAGAAGCATCCACAAGTGTCGGCCCACAATTTGGCTTATTCAGCGTACGCCGACAACGTACGTCGAACCAATTCCGCCAACGGGAATCCCTTGAATCCTGCCAACTTGCCCTCCACTTTGCTGCCAACCGCGACGAATGTGAAGGCGTACACATTTGGACAGATGCAGAACGCCAATAGGCAAGGATCCGCGAAAAGCAATCAGGCAGAGGCGAAGATAACAACAGCTGGCACTCGGCGATCTGAGTACGACGATGAGTTTTATGGGCCGATAATTAACAGGCTGGAGGACATATTCAAGCAATTGAGATTCGCCGACGAGCCTTGCAGAGAGAGGCTCGTGTGCAGCATGTACAAGAACCCGGCTGTTTATTCGCCGCACAGCAACCTCGTCTCGAACGAGTTGTCCAGGTAGGAGAGGATGAGAAATGAAGATTAACCGATAATTATTAACGTTTAGAAGAACGTTGGCTCAACGTTGGAAAGCGTGGAAACGGGGACGTGGTTATTTGGTTTTTGTCCGTCCTTGGTCAAATAATTTCACGAACGTTATCGAGACGATATTGATGTCTTTTGTTCTCTTCTTCCCTCTGTTGATCTTCGGATATTAATTACGTATTCATCGATCCGCGTCGCGTTCGAATCCGATCGGTTAATTGCTTACGAGGAGAAAGGTAGCCATCGTTCTCGAATCGCTCGAATCAGAACGTTGAATCACATTCCTCTCGTACTTGATTCCTTTTCTTTTTATTCTCTCTTCCCATTAAAAACGATAAACGTTGTTCGCGAAACAAGAAGCATTCATTCTACAAGAATCATTAATTCCAGTAATAAGTTATTATATATATATATATATAAATCGAGGTTAAATATTCTCTCTAAGTATTCTCTTTTATTAATTATTAGCTATGAATAATAAAATGTTATGAAAAGAGATCGATTTTTAGAAAAAAGAAAGAGGCGTTCTTATTTACGAAATTTCAAATTCTCGAATTCGAAATTCTCCGAAATTACGAAGAAGAAGAATTAAATTAAAAGAAAAGTCGTTTATTATACACGCGTACATAATTATCAATGTATTATTAAGAGAGAGATTAATTCGTTAGTGTGTGCATCCGCTAAATGGCGAAAGTATTACACACCTCGACTCTCCTGCAAATATTGGCAGGAGAAAGAGGGTCAGGATTTAATATGATTGTCGCCTGATTTCTATGTCGAGAGATTATTAACGGAGACAATTTTTTTTTTTTTCTTTTCAGAGATCCGCAAGAGTTGAAGCAAACCGGGACCGGAAGCTTGTCCAGCCAGAAATTTCACAGATATCTCGAGGCGGCCAGACTCGGGCAAGATGGTGGAGATTGTTTAAGAACGTATCCATGCCATATAAACACCGAATAAATCGGGATGTAAATTTTGTAAAACGATTTCGCAAATAGGCTATGCAACGGCGCCAAACTAGGCGTCGAAGTTTCCGCCGCCATACATCGCCAGGCATCGAAGTCTCCACGTGAGATTGACTGGTCTGGTTCCGCTAGATGTTATTTAGGTGGCTGCGAGTGTAGGTTATTTATTTGTGTCAGGGTCACGATTCTTCGAGGAAGAAAGTATGACGTCGAATGATTTTGTACACTTAAATATTTTTAGAAAGATAAAGATTTTACTTTTTGATCGTTTCTTCGAAGCAAGGTTTGTTTTTACTCGCAAAATTAGTATTTAGAATTTTCGATAAATAATATTATTTTTAATATACGAACGGGGCTTTGAAGTATCTAGTGGTAATATTAAATGGAATTTAATGTGATGGATATCGAGTCGAATGGAATGGGCTTCCTGTTCGAACACATTATGAATGTAAATATCTACAAGATTTTTTTCTCGGAGTTACAAGAATATATTTTTTAGCGTTTTTATGTCCAGTCTTCGGTGTACCTCGTCCGGAGCTGGATAATATTTTTTCTGATGAAATGTCAAATTTCGTACCTTTGACACTTTGTCAGAAAAGGAACTCCTAGTGATAACTTGTAACTACTATCCTTTGTACGAATTGTAGATTTTTCCCGGATATTAAATTAAATAAACGATAACTTCTTCTAAGATATTGTTAAATCCACACGATGTCGTTGTGTAATACACAAAATGTAATTTATATTTTAACGTATGTAAGTAACTTATTGCAATGAGTATATTTTTAAAAAATAAACTCTTAACGTTTATTCATTGTTACGTTCTCGGGTGCCATACCCAGTTATTACTGTACTTATATATGTATTAATAATTTGATTACGTTTAGATTGTAAGTTATTTATTGTACAAAAACGATTCACACTTCGATGATGATTACCTCGAAGTTGTATTGTTCGTAATAAATAATGTAAAAAAAAAAAACAAAACAACTATCACTGTTTCATACCTCATCATATCATTAAAATAAAATTGCCGAAAGAATTATATATACTTACGAAGTTTTACAAAATTACATTTCGAAGAAAGATAAAAATTGCATAATCGTGAAGCTTAAATTACCATGAAAAGTTCAATTCACACTCTCGATTGAATCTCGTTCAAGAAAAACGAGCGATCCATCACTTCCATTCACGAAACTTGAGCCAAGCCTCCATATATAAAATCACTTTCCATCCAATCTCTATCTTCGTTCATTCCTCCCTCATAAATCAATTTTTACTTTCATTCTCTTCTCTTCTCACCTCGAGCAATTTCACTTCGTCGTTCGTTAATTCTTCCCCGCCGATGGACGATCAATCGCGTCAATAATCTCCTTCTTTCTTTTCTTCTTTTTTCTCGAAAACTAGTTACCACTTCGAATCATCCAAATCGAACGAAGGAAAATCTTCTGGCCTGGATTTTTTGGGCGAACGGCCGGAAATCGTGGGTGTCGAAACGAAAATCGTATCGCGGAACGAGGGGCCCGTGAAAACATCGTCACCCTAGATAACGAGGCTTTCTTCTTTCCTTTCAGCCGGGCACACGTCCCTGATCAAAATTCATCGGCCGTACGTGGCTTCCATCGGCTATAAAACCGCGTTGTCTTCGTTCGAGCCGGCATTCGGTGTTTAGCCTCGCAAATCGATGGGTACCGTCATGAAGTTCACAACGATCCTCGCGTCTCTCGCCCTTGTGGCCGCCCTCGCCAACGCGCAGAGGACCGAGACCACTGTCGACGCCCTTCGACACATTTATTACAGGTGAGTGAACGAGGAAAATTCGTTGATTAAAAAGAAAAAAAAAAACGAGATTACGATTTATAAAAATAACTTTCTTCCAGATGCATAGACAACGAGTCCATGTTGTCCTGCGCGAAGCCCAAAGTGTTGGCCTACCTCAGCCAAGCGGCGAAACAAGACAGGCTGGCCATCACGGAAGACTTGGCACTGGTGAAGTCCAGAGACCTGGCCGAGGACAACAGCGAGGATTACTACCCTGCTCAATACGAATCCGTGGACCCTGCCAGAAAGGAGCTGTTGAGGTCCTTGATGTTGGAGAAACTGGACGCTTACTTGTCGAGCCATCAGCTGGAGGCTAAGCTGCCCGAAGCCGTCGTTGGGTCCAACATCGTGCCGAGATCCTTGGTGGACAGCATGCCGAGAAGCTTGACCGTACCTCTTTCCGACTCCTCGGACAACGGTCAAGGTGAACAACGATTTCAATTATCTCAATTGGATTTTAACCCAATTATGTATAAAATTGTGAAACAATTTTTTTTACACGATTTTATTTTATATCGAAACGACAGGTCGTGGCTTCGTGAAGAAGGTGATGATACCGTTCCTGTTGGGTCTGAAGTTCAAGGCCACCGCTTTGGTCCCCCTAGCCCTCGCCCTGATCGCCCTGAAAACGTGGAAAGCCCTCACCTTGGGCCTCCTCTCGTTGGTGCTCAGCGGTGCAATGATGATCTTTAAGCTGACGAAGCCCAAAGTCGCCTACGAGGTCGTGCATTACGGACACCCGCCCGTCGAGCATCCGCCCCACTGGGAGACCTCGGCCCACGGACCCTACAGGGCGTACAGGAAATAGATTAATAGAAACACTCGAACATTCCATAACCTCACCTCTTCCCACCTCCCCCCCACCCTTTTTTTTTTAGAACAACTTCGTTTTATTTATAATATTTATTGACGCGCGACGACTCTGACTTTTATTTATAATAAATAAAAAAAATCTCTTTCATGGTCTCGTCAAAAATCTTTGTCTCCATATCTCTCCGTATCTTTCGCTCCTTCGCACTTCGTCGAGGAGAAAAAAAAGAGAAAGAAAAAGAAAGACAAGCGAATCCACCCTCGCGTCCATCGAAGAAAGAAGGAAAAAAGGAAGGAAGGAAGGAAGGAAAAAAACTAACGGGTACATTTGGTGCTCACTTTCCTTTTTATTATTTGCCTACGCGAGGAGAATCGGTCGGCAAGGATCGACCGTTCGTTCGAAAGACCGAGAAAGTGGAAAGGGTCGATTGAGCATTCAGCGATAGTTCGAGCGACGTAAGAATAATTGGGTCGATCGATCGGTCTTGTTTCAGATCGTTCTTTCCTTTTTTTTTTTTTTTCCGTTAAAATCGAACGATTTTGATCTCCTCGATCGATTTCCAACAAACTCGCCGATCATTTCGTTATCGAGGGAGAACACTTTTTCGTTCGAGAATCATCACGCACTTGGAAGCGTGGGCAGAGAAGGGGAATGGCAAATGAAGGAAAATGCGGGTCGTGGAAACTCGCGAAGGGAGAATTAGATTGGAAGGTGACATCGATTGGACGTTACCACGTCCTGAATGCTTATGCAAACTCGACCCAAAATTCCAATTACCGGTTCATTGTTACGGGCGGTAGGAAGTCGGGCAAATGTGTCTCGTAGCAACCCCGCGCGCGCATTCTCGCACGAGAAACTCGCACGCAACGTGCATTTCTGATGCGTTAGAGAAGAATCTTTGTCGAATCCGTTGGAATCCGCATCGTGGTTCAATTGAGATGTGAATTTACGAATCGCTTTTCGAACACGTATTTATCCGCCGCCTTTAATCGTGAATTTTAACCGAGAGAATCGTTATTTTTCCACAGACAGATAACTCTCAGATTTCTCTTTAAACGAAACGAGGAATAAGTTTCTTTTTCAGAGAAACAAGGGCGAAAGGGTGAAAATTTTCTTTGCTGTTGGGAAGAGGGGGGGTGGGGAGCGCGCGATCCATCGAAGCAAGCGTGTGGAAAGTGTCGTGTTCGTGGAGCGAATGAACGATCGGTTCAATGCCAATGTTACGGTGCCATTGGTGCCAAGGATGAAGGGTCTTTCTTACTCTTCGTCGCCGTGCGCACGCTACTTCCGCTTTGCTACCTGAAACGATGCTGCGTACGATAGGGGGCCAAATATTCGAAAGTTTCGCCCGTTTTATTGCGTGAGCGGATTTTTTTATCGATCGATCCAGGTTAATGAAATGATAGATATTTCGATCACTTTGGAATTTCGATCCTTCCTCCTCCACGCGCAGATTGAAAAGTTTCAACAAAATATTTTCATTAATCTCACAATTCTCTTACGTTTTATTACATTACTACTACTAATCTTGGAAAGAAAATAACGAGACTGTCGTCCTCGAGCATAATCCTTAAATCGCAACAATTATCAAATCTGCAGATCCGTTTCTTTAACTTCTTTAACTTCGATTAATCAGCTTAAAGATTTAAAAAGCCGATTTAACAAGCCTTACCTCAAGATTATAAATTGCTGCACACAAACCCATACCCCCTGAGAAAGGCGAAGGTGAAACGATTCGATCGAATCTAAATATCCACGAAGCCTAATGGTAGAAAGTAAATGCTAGCATCGAAATCATTGATAGAAATCAACTTAGCAATCGGCACGACGGAAGAATAATCCGTCACGCGAGCCTCCCGCGTTCGACACCGTTCACGAGGTGCTTTCTTTCGGCTTTGCGCGACTCCCCCTTCGGATTCCCGTCACGCGCGAGGCGCGAGGCCTCGATAATCGAACACCATACTGAACGAAAAGAAAATTGGTGGCCGGATGGAAGTGGGAGGCGCGGTACTCGGGTGCTCCGCTACTCGACGAACGTCCGACGGAACGACGGCCGGGGTCTCCGTATAAATAGCCTGGTGCCCAACCCATTGGCAACAGTCGTCGTGCAATCGTCGTCGTTCCCATCCTCCACAAGGATACAATTGAAACTCGATTAACTCTGTAGGAGTTGAACCATGAAGCTGTTGCTCGCGTTGTGCTCCCTCCTGGCCCTTGCGGCGGCCCAGCCCGCGAAGAACGAGCTCTGGAAGGGCAGCAGCATGGATCAGATGGTCGACCAGACGAAGATCGAGTGCGCGCAGAAGAACGACGAGGTCTCTTGCATGAAGTTCAAGGTCCTCAACCTCCTCGACCAGATCTTCCGCAAGGACAGCTTCAAGGCAAGTGTCTCTCCTTCGAGGCTGTCAAGGATCGATCGAAAGTTGGGCACCGAGAGCTTGTTCTCGAGCAAAATTTATCACTTTCGTTTCACAGTAATCTTTTACAATCACGCAGGTATCCGAAACCGTGGAGGTGACTCGCAACTCGTATCCGGCCGAGGAGGTGTCCGGTCGTGGCGAGGGCTCCTTCCTGGACAACGTGCACACCTACTTGACCTCTCACGACGTGACCTTCAAACTGCCGATGGACTCGTCGGTGAAGGTGAGCGCGAGGAACATCGACGACGACCAGCTCACTTTCGACGTGAAGTTCGGCCAGGGCCGCGCCGTCGAGGAGGCCCGCAAGTCCAAGCTGAAGAAGGTGGTCATCCCGATTCTGGTGTTCGTCCTTCTCAAGGCGATGACGCTGATCCCGCTGGCGATCGGCGTCCTCGGGCTGAAGGCTTGGAACGCTCTTCAACTCTCCTTCTTCAGCTTCATCGTCTCGGTCGGAATGGCGATCTTCCAGCTGTGCAAAAAGATCGCGGCCGACAGCCACGGCGCATCGTTGACGGCGCACGGGCCGTGGGAGTACCAGGCTCAGTACAGATCCTTCGACGAGCAGCCATTGTCGCATGATTTCGCGCAGGATCTCGCTTACTCGGCGCACGCGCAATCGTAAACGCACCCCTCGTGTATTCATCGCCGCGACTTTTGTAAAATATCTGCCTTCCTCCTCTCCTCCACTGTATACTCTTTATTTAATAAATTATTGTTGCAAATTCAAATCCATCGTCTTCCTTCTTTCGTGTACAGGGATCCACGATTTAGATGATGCATATTTGATTCTATTATATTTATCACGAGAGGAATCTTTAATGGGATAATTCAGGAGAGATTCGTGTGTTATTGGGTGTGGGGATATTTGGGAACGAAAAGAAAAAGAAGAAATTGAATTCTTCTCGAGGAGATGATACTTGAGATATAGTTTAGAAGTGTGTCAATGGACCGATTAGAAAAATTGATATATAAATTACGTGCGAAGAGAAGAAATTATTTGTGAGAGATTTAAAAAGAGATTTTAATTAAAGGAATAGGAAGAAACTGTAGCGAGGATAGCCTTAAGTTTCACGTTACGTTACAATTACGTCTTCATTTCTGCGATCTGATGTAATACGAAACCGTGTTATCACTATCGAAATGACTTATTCGCTAATAAAAAAAAAAAGGATCTCAACTTCAAATCACGTTTCCCATTCGTTTCCCATTCACAAAACGTAAACTTACTTTGAGAGATTTGATGATGAAAAATGGACAAATGTCCCGGATCTAACAGGAGCGGTTTGTTTTTACAGGCGAATCGTAAGCGGAAAAGAATGTCCGTGTAAAATTGTCCACGAGTGGATTGTTCAAGTTTCTGAAACTGAACGTAATCCGGTTTTGCAAGGAGATTATGCCCGATAATGATCAGACGCGGCTACTTCGCGCAACAAGTCCTTCCGTAAAATGGAAATCCAGTTTTCGTCCCCGCAAAGGGATTCTCGCAGTTTCTGCTTTCCTTTGGCGTGTCTTATTTTGACTATGTTTCACGCTTGTTTCCGTTGAAATAGAAACTATAAATACAACTTCGTAATTTTTGCAAGATACAATTACGGATGAAAAATTTCCTCCCGTTTCTTTATCTATACAAAAAGATCATGAATATCATTTATGGAAAATTTAATATACTTGAAAAAAAATATCTTCTATTACTTTATCCGTCTGCTCACAAAAATATATATATCGTAAGAAAGAAAGAAAGAAAGAAAGAAAGAAAGAAAATCTACCCTGCGAATTGCTATATTCAAATATATTATAGAAAATGTTTTACATTTATCCTTAAAGAACGAATAACTTTCAACGTAATAAATAAGATTTCCTTTTTTAGTTTTCATTCAAAAGATCCAACAAATACGTTATATTGAAACCCAGTCGACGTTCCACCACCCGCCATATACGGACCACCATCTACCAAAAATCGTGGCGAGGAGGAAACTCTCCCGTCGGATCGAACGGTGCTCCCCCTCGAGGATCGTAGAAGGGCGTGGAAGCGTCGTTAGAAACGTCGAGGGGGGCACGGCGGCGGCAAGTTCCGTTTCCCGTGCATGCCATCGTGTACGCGTCGGGACGCGCGCGTGCACGCACGTACCGAGGAGGAGGAGGAGGAGAGGTGCCGCTCTATGTGCCAGTGAAATTTGAATAATTTTCCTTCGATCGTCGATTCCCGGCATGCGCGACCGAATAACATAGATTCGCGGGGGGCAAATTAAATAAAAGGGGCGGGCCACTCCTCCGTCAGTCGCAGTTCGATCGGCGATCGCAAGCACGCGACGGCAATCGGGATCGTTTCTGTTTTTTTACTTTTTTTTTTTCCTTCCGATCCACACACGTGAGAAGGAGAGAGAGTTGTTCCCTTCTTTACTTCATTCGTCGAGAGGATGAGGCAGTTGGTAGCAATCGTGACGATCGTGTCCACGGTGGGAGGATGTCTGGCCGGTGGGCAGGATTTCCTCTCGAAATCCTTGAACGAGTGCGTCGCAGCCGACTCGTGGCTGTCCTGCCTGAAGCAAGAGGTGCTCGGATATTTGGACGGGAAGCTTGGGACCAGCACCGAGGCGAGGTCCCTGGACACCGTGGACGAGGCTATCGTCGCGAGGACGTTCAAGTATCTGAAGGGTTTCGACTACGGTGTGGATCTGCCTTTGCTCGACGCGAGCCTCAAGTACAGGCCGAGCAGAAGTTTGGCGGATCTGGATATCGAGTTCAAGGGTGACCAAGTTGCCACCAGTCAGGCGAGAGGAATGCTGAAGAAGAAGCTGCTCCTGCCTTTCCTCCTCCTGTTGAAATTGAAACTGAAGGCCCTTATGCCGATCCTCGTCGCAGTAGTCGGTCTGAAGGCGTTGAAGGCTCTCATCCTCTCGAAACTCGCGGTCCTCCTAGTCGTTGGATTCATCGCCGTGCAACTGTTCAAGAAGGTGGAATGATGATGCCAATGGGTACGTCTTGTTATCACTAATTGAAATTTGATTATAATCGAGACGGGGAAAAGAATTAACGAAGTGCCTCTGTTTCGCAGGAATGTCGATGGAACCGGCTGCGCAGACGTACGGAGCTCCACCCTTGCCCTCGACCACGTCGAGCTACGACCCGGCCAACACGTGGGACGGAAACGGGCCTTATTCCCGCGTGTGGACGCCGACCAACGGTGTGGAAGCGCAGAATCTCGCCTACTCTTACTACTCTCCGAGCACCGGCTCCAACTCGTACAGCGGCTCCTCCTCGTCCTCCTCGTCCTCCTCGTCGTCGTCGATCAATTCCGCCAGCTCGACCAACTACTAGTCGATTCGTTTTCCCGATTGACTTGATCATTCTCCTTTTTTTCATCAACGATCGCACGATCGAGAGACCAAAGAGACGCGCGCCAAATAATCGTCGATCGAACGCATTCATCGATCATTGTCCAAAGTTCCGTACTCTCGTCGAACGAATTTACGCCTGTCTTTTTCTTCTTTGTTCAGAATCAGGCGACGACGTGAACTCGACGAGAGAACGGAAGATTTTAAGATCGTTCAGCTGTTTAATAGGAATTTGACAATCGGTTTTGCAAAAAAGGAAATTGTTAGGAGACGATAGAGAGACGTCTGAATCGAGGAGAATCTCGAATCTCGCGGCTGGATGGAATACACTTTCTTTCTTCTTTTTGTAACAAACTTCGAAACTTCGTTGTTGTTTCATTTATTTATTATTACTCGCGCGGCACGATTATTTATTGTTATTGCCTCTCCTCGCATTTGTTAATAAAAGCATTACGAATAACAATGGATTATTCCTTGTCTGGTCCTTCGTCTACCACTGGAACGGAGTTAATGAAATCTCCGTTGGAAATTTTTCACTTGGAGGGCCGAGGACAAATGTACTTTCTCCTGATCGAATACCCGTTGAATGGAAATAAAATAATTCCGATCGCCATCGAAAGTGTAAGCGCCACAATGCATGTCGTACTCCTTGCACTGCTGCACGCCCGATAGTTTTCGAGCAACGTAGTTAATTAAAAAACTTGAATTGAATACGTAAGCATAGTTCAATCTACTCTTCTTCTCGTTAAATTTACATCGATTAATTACGATAATTATATAATTATTATATTTATATATTTTTTTCGAATCTATAAGAAGGATATAAAATATATAAATATATCTTGTATCAGTGAAAAGAAATAATGTTTTACCATCGGATGATAAAAATTATAATTTATAATTGATAGAAATATCTTTACATCGATATGTATCGGTAACAGAATTAAAAATCCATGATGGATCTGAAAGTAGTTTCAGATGTTTGCCGGTAACTCGAATTCATCTTGGATAACCTCTTCAAGTTGCAGGACACTGGCTGAAGATGGCGCCAGTTCCACTTCTCTGAAGTTTCAAGTGTTACCTACCGGTCTATGAAATATAAAACGTGACATTGAACTCGACGTTTGTTCCTTATCGATTCAATAAAATTGTTTCAATCAATATCGACGACATAATTTCAACAATCTTAAAACACGCAACAAATAATGAATGAAACATGATTGTAGGGAAATAGAAGAATATCAAAACGATCAAATGGACGAGAATTGAGATCGAACCTGCTTTTCTCAAGAAAAATCCACGAAATTCGAAGTTGCTTCGACAAAAAGATCGCACGAAGAGGAAATATGATCCGTCACGATCCGTATAATCCTTGTTAATCTTCTAAATTTACAGGATTAACCCTTTCCTCCACTCTTGTCGTCCTTAACAAGCGACAAAAGACAACCTTTTCACCTTTCTCCCGCACTGAAAAAAACCGCACTGACCAGAGAACGCAGCAAAAGTTTACGATCCGAAAGGTGGTGGCCCAGGTAAATTCTCTGTTCTCGAGTGTCGAAGCGAAAGGGTTTCGCTTCTCGAGGAGCATCCTTCTTCACAATGGTGCAAGCCTCCTCGAGTTGTGAGTTCCAATCGACGTAATCCTCTTCTTTGACCGCAGGATTTCCTCGCCTGGTGTAAACGTAGCAGGAAAAGGGTGGATAATTAATGGAGAAAATTGGCAGATATCTCGACTTCATGGGTGTTGTTTCAAATTGGCGAAGGAGAATAAATTTATAAGACTCGTATGCTCGTAGTTTTCTTGGTCAAAGAACGATGATGGAAATGCAATAGAAATTGAATTTTGAAGAATTTCCTGTTTTCGAGGTTTGTTGATTATTGCATATATATATCCATCGATTCGTTTCCTAAGAATGTTTAATTATATAAGTTTTTATCTCTTAATAATATAAGGGAATATAAATGTTCGGTGAGTTCGACGAAGGGATAAGCGCGATCGATCAAACAATTTCTAAAAAAACAAAATTAAATAATATTGTTTCAACAAATATTAGAAAATTGAAAGATCATTATGACATTAGTCTATTCCCTTTATTATAAAAATTTTTTATAATAACTTAATAGCTCTTTGAAGATACAGATTAAGAGAATAACTTTTTCGTTCACACGAAGTGGATTATCTCATTTTTTGACAAGTTTTAATCAATCTCGAAAGAAAGACCGGTTCGAGGTGGAAGCAAGGCGCAACCCTTTTTCCAGAAAACCTTCTCCCTTCAACGGTTCGGCCTCGTTTGTGCCCAAATCATCGTCATCATCCTGAATGCCTTGAGGTTTTTTTCAAACCATCCATTCTCACGGTCTACCGAAACCATCGTCATCTCCCCTCTCCAATACTACACTCATAAATTCGTTGTCGTACAGAGTGTTATTAGCGTTATCTTTGACTAATAGTAATTGCCTCGTGGAAAAAGTCATTAGCGAGGCAACGATAACCGAGGAATGAGTTATTAATTCTGATCCAATAGAAAAACTGTTTTCTGATAAAAGTAACGAGAAAGCGTGTCCAATTTCCCAATATATTCTCTTCGATATTCTTTTCCACAAATATGACACTCCTCTAATAATCGAATAATAGAAATAAAATCAATATTTAAAATTTATTTACAAATCTAATTTAATTTTTGATCCGAAAACGATATAACGCAATAACATTTTTCGTTACAACAATTGGCAGCGGAAAATTTGCCATAAAATTTTCGAGAAAAATAAAAAAAAGAAGGAAAAGTCGTAATCGATGCGATACGATGACCGGGGTACAAACACACAGATGGAAAGTAAATCGAAGATGAAAGTTCTCGAGTGTCCAGGACCGATCGAATAAAGGCACGATCCTGCGAGCGATAGATCGATCGCACAGGATGCGTAACTTCCTGCATTTGTATTCCCTCGTGTGCATGGACACACGAGGGATCGAAAAACTGTCTGCGTTTCTCGGCCGACCGACCGCTGCACCGGTTCCTTCCTTTTTTTTTCTCCCCGTTCCTTTTTTTTCCTCTTCTCCTCCTCCTCCTCCTCCTCCTCGATCTGGAACTATTAAAAAACGCTCGTCGAAAACTGCGGATCCTTTTGTAAAATGCAACGAGAGGGTGGCAGCCGACGAGAGGACGGGGTGCAGCCTGTTACACAACCGGAAGGAAATCTGTAACACAAGGATTTTTCGACGAGGCATCCATCTCTCTTGAAAAAAAGAAGAAGAAAAAAAAGGAGAGAAAAGGAAAAAACGTAGACAGCCTCTTCGTTTGCGTAATTCCTTCCGCCTTCTTACGCATCTGTCGCTATTTACACAATCGAATGAAAGAATGTATTTCGTAATAATAATGTTCATTGTACGAGTGATGATGAGATTGGAGGAAAGCGTGTATTTTTCCCTTCCCCCCTCTTTTTTTTAATTACAATCGAAACAAAGGTAACCACCAAGCAAAATTTTAATTAACTTATTATATAGAATATCGTGGATCGTTACATCGGTAGAAATTCACGGAGGAAATTGTTGTACACGAGGCATCGTAAAATGAATTCCATTAAAGCGATCGTACAGCAAATGAGTAACAAGGAACTGGATTTAATTTAATTGGAAATATTTCGACATTTACTATCCAAGGATATATCAATATCCAAATCAACAATCGCGAGCTTCTCCTCCAATTATTCCATACCTATATAAAAATTAAACATAATTTTAACCTTGCTCGCAATCGGGGAAAAAACCGAATCAAGCATCGTCCGTTAAAAATGGTGTCCAGAAAGGAAGAGGAGAAAACTCGTGTTCTCGCGTTTCGATGCAAGAAAGTTTCCGAACGCTGCCCGGCAAATAGTTCGTCGCCACTTTCTTTCCTTCTCTCCTTATCTCCCTCTCTCTCTCTCTCGCCTCTCGATTGCGTAACCGAGAAATCGATCTTCGTTGCATCGATACGATATAGCGGGACACACGCACACGCACACGCACGGCTTGCGGTGGATTGCGTAATTTCGTTTCGTCGAGCGATCTTTTCCACGGCTGGGCTTCCCTCCAATTTAATTTCAACAAGGACAAGCGGCCGCCGCCGCCGTGTCGCGCTCGTGCCCCGCCGACATTTAATCGAGTCGAGTCGAGTCGTGCGTGTATATGTATATATATGTGACATTTGACTCGTCCAATTTCCCTCGCTCCCTTGCAAAATCGTCTTCGAGCCGAGTCGAGCTTACTTTTCCTTTTCTTCTCTCTCTCTCTCTCTCTCTCTCTCTCTCTTCCTTTTCCACTCTTCCTTCCCTAAGGCTGCGTTTTCCCCCCTTGCCATCGGTTGACATTTGCGACCGACACGGATCGCCGAGCGGAGCCTCGAGTATGGGTATATATGCATCATGGGATTGTGAATATTTAGATAAATATAGGGGAATAATTGCAACGATATCTGACGTAACGTAGTTTATTAATTTCTCCTCGAGTTTATCGTCTCTCTCTGAATTTCTGCTCGTATCGTTGGAAACAGGTGCGAGAAAGCGGCGGTGGTTTCCATTGTTTTCCGACACGGGATTTCGGGATTTCGAAGAAAGTAGCCGATGGAGCACAAAAAAAAAAGAAGAAGAAGAAGAAGGAGAGCGAGGAGGCGGACTATATTTCAGAAGAAAGGAAGCAAAAAAAAAGAGAAAGAAATAATAGGAGAAAGGTGCATGCTCTCCTCGGGAGAGACACAGGTAAAGGCGAAATGATGCAAGATATCCGCGCTTCGACAGTCGCTAACGACTCCATTCTCTTGGTCGAAGGGTTGCTCGTAAACCACCACCGCTCGTGAATCTCTTCGAGCCCTCTCTTCTTCGCATTACGAATATGCCGATACTCGTCCACCTTCCACGAAAACGTAGCCCTCGGCCGTGCCTATCGCCCGCTCATTATCTTCATCGAAGATCGTGCATTCCTCCTCCATTCTCGAGACTGTTGCGACATTGTTCTTT